ATCTCATAGCTGGGCTTTTTATCCTGCTAATGATTGGGCAATAGCACTAACAGAAGCTGTTGAATTTTTTTTCTTGCGTGGTTGTTACACGTCTGAATGTTGTACAAGTGTTGACTGAGCAGGATGCGTTTGAGTCCTCTCTTTGAGGTTAGGGTTGTTCCACAGAGTCTGATTTAGCCTTAGATGCTCCAGCAATAGAGATAGTAAAGGTGTAAAGATGATATGGGGGACCCAAGGTAAATGAAGTTCAACAATATCTATGTTGTACCACTCAATGAAGATATTAGGAAGGGAGTCTGCTTAACAGGTGTGTCTGCTTTTTGATGATGGTCAATTCCAATTTCCTGCAGTGGTGAGAGAGGTAACATTTCCATGTGGGAAATTTGTGCTGCATTGTCACCTCGTTGTATTTTAGCGTTGTGGCCACCATTGTTTTGATATTGATATCACTTAGTAAATGTGCTGTGTCACTCCTTTTTACCTACCCCTTTTTTGATTGGGGAAAGGTTGTTTAGTTTGAATACATTCTATTTTTTCTAAAGAATGCTATCAGATGACGCAATTTCTATAATTTCTTCAACTTTTTTTGGGGGGTCCTATCAGATTCTATTGGATTAATGCCTGTATGAACATTTTGAAAACGATCACAAATTACCTCTGACTTCCTGATCTATTTTCCCAACTTCCATGGCACCTGATTTTTTGCATATATTATATGTCATCATGTGTCTTCTACATAGTATAGCGTATGACAAATTTAATTATTTGTCAACTCTAATTTTCTTTTTTAAAATCGTATGCCTTAAAAATAATGCGAAGAATAACTAAATTTATACTGAATTTCATTTTTCCATAGCAACATTACCTTTCTTCAAGACTGCACCAGTTAAAGAGTTGAATAAAAATATTATTCAACAGGGCCAAGGGAAAAAAAGAAGAAACTCAAATTCCTTAGATTCCGGCACTAAATGTTCAAAAACTGGTAAACCCCTGGTTTCCCTTGACTCCCCAAATTCTAAAGCTGCAAAAATTAGAAAATTATCTGTTCAAAAACCATGTGAGGAAAATGGTAATGAAGTCAGCTCAAGTTCAGAAGCCGATTCAGTATCAGGAAAATCAACAGCTGGTAAATGCTGTTTATTGGATCGATTTGTCACTATCCTGCCAGCAGATGCTCACCAGGAAATATCTTCTACTAATGAAGTTCTAGATTTATCTGTAGAAGAAAATGAACTAGCAGGAGAAAGTTCAAAAATACATCAAGATGACATTAACAGTTCTGTAAAGGCAACCAATACAGACAATATATGTATTATAATAGATGATTCTAATGACAAAAACGAGGTCATGATTAATAAAGTTACGGCAAAAGCTCCTTTAAAAGCTGCTCTTGAAGAGGCAACACCTGAAATAAAATCAAAAAGCGACGCTATCAAAGAAAATGATTTAATTAGCCCTTACTCAGTTTCTGAGAAAAAAGAGGAATTTGAAAGTGACATTGTTGAAAAGGATTCAGATGACCAGAATTTGCATAGCGTAGACAAGGTTTCAGAAAATACCTCATTTGTGTCAGAAGATGACCAAAATGAATCTTTAACCCATTGCTCATTCACGTCTCAAGTGTGCTCAACACCACTTAAAGGTTGTGATCAGACTGGTTCTGAAGCTGAAGTGTTCCCATCTGGGTCTGGGAACACCAAACGGAGAAGTCCTAAAACACCATCGTCAAGCAACTCAAAAGCAAGAAAGGTAACTTAAGTATTTCATTAACATTTGACTAAATACAGTTATTAATTCCTTTAACAAGATAGATGAAAAAAAAATGTTGAAATAAATGGTACTACCCAAATGGGTTATCATATCTCAAGGGTCTCTTCTTGTAAAGAGGTAAAAGATTTTTTACTATTTTGGTGTCTGTTTTGTGTCTTAGCATGGTGGACCCTAAGCAAATTTTAGTACTGCAGACCTGTTTACTCTTACGATTTTGGCATACAATGTACGATTTTGAGGTGTATACATTATAATACTTTATGTTTATTTTTGTTACTATTAAGATAATGTATTGAATGATTTAGTCATGATATTGTATGATTTTAAGAGCTTGAGGGTAAACATGTTTGGTACTGTTAGTATTTTACAAAATTAATACAGGTGCTTAAAAATATTTAGTTTTTGTATTCCAATAATTTTAATAGTAATAATATAGACAAATTGTTGAATATTTTTATTTTGTCCACATCTGTGGTTCCTTATCTGTTTTTATTTATGACAAATTAGAGTTATTGTAAAAAAAAAAGGAAATTTATGTCATTTAAATGTTTGAAACAGTCTGATCCGAAGAAGAAAGCTGAAGTGGCCGCTTTAAAGCAGAAGCAGAAAGAAGAAAAAGAAAAGGAAAGATTAGAAAGAAAAAGAAAACTGGAAGAAGAGAAGGCAGAAAAAGAAAAGATTAAAATGGAAAAAAGGGTACAGTCTTAATCTACAATTTTGCCAAAAACAGCTATTTATTTAATATTTCAAGTATTGGAGTGACAACTTAAAGCTCGATAAAATTAATAAGTTGAAAAAAGTCACTTTACTTCAAGCTTATTTTAATCAGTTTCATGTTACTTAATAACTTTGTAGGTTTCATAGTTTAAATTAAATTTAGAGCGACCTTTTTCCTAAAGTTACTACGTGTGCTTATAAGCATTTAAAGTATTCCTATTTTACTTTTTGAGTGAATATTTCTGATCCAATTGCTATATTTATTTATGGATTGACGGGTTAAAAAGTGCTCATATATTTAAATGTTATTTAAACATTTATTCAGGCTTAATAGGTTTGCTTTCTTGTTTCTTTAGGAAGCCAAAGAAAGGGAAAAACAAGAAAAGCTGGAAAAAGATAAAGCGAGGGAAGAGGAACGAAAGAAAAGGGAGGATGAGAAACTAAAAAAACAAGAAGAGAAAATGAAAAAGCAAGCTGCATTAGAGTAAGAGACTATTTGTATCTTTTGATTTTTTGAGGTATTTTCTCTATTAGTCATTTTCTTTTAGTTTTTGAGTTACATCAGAAATTCTTTTTTTTAACATCTCTCAAAATCATTTTAAGTAATTCTTGTTCAGCGAAATCCAACCAAAAATTGTATTTATTGCTCCATACAATACTAAAATCCTTACTTCTGAATATAAAACATTTTCATCGAAACCTGAAAATTTATACCAGGACACCTAAGGAAAAAAGTGCAGACAAACTAAGCAAAACAGGGAACATCCAATGAACAGCCCAACATCTACATTTCTCAACACTGCAAAGCAGATTATCAGAGCTATGGGCTATGGAGAGTGTAAATTGTTCACCATGGCTGAAGGGCACATACCCAAACGGCCAGATGCCCAAATAGCCACTGTATCTGAATGATAATGACTGCTCCAAAAATTCTGTCCAATCATCCAGCAAGGAATAATTCCTATTTAACCTTGATTATGTGCCAGCACATTAAAACTTCACATTTTTTGTTTCTTTCCTACTCATGATTTCTTACAGGTCGAAGCTTGAAGAAAAGAAAAGAAAGGAAGAAGAAAGGAAACAAAGAGAGGAAGAAAAAGTGAGAGAAGATGAAGAGAAGGTAAATATGAAGAAAAACTTGTTTTTGTCCATACATCCCGCTTTTGGTTTTAATATTGAATGTGCATTATTGCATTTTCCATTATCCATAATTAGCACCAGCAACAATTATTAAAATGGTTTTGTAGTTCTATTTTTGTGTCCTAATCTTTATTTAATTTAGAGATGAAAGTAGCTCAAAAATAATGAATCCTCTCTAGGTTGGAGATGCTAATATTTTCTTGTAAGCCAAATAGATAATCAGATTTAATGAACATTTTCGGTTTTATTAGCTGCCAGTATACAAGTGCATGCTGTGCATGTTTAATTTTTAAGAACAATGGACATCAACTACTTTTGTTATGTAGGTATTGATGCCCTTTTAACTCTATGCTATGATGGATACCCATTATGAGAAACAGAAATTTAAATATATTGGGTACTTAAATCCCATATCGATGATGTTTTATAATGTTTTATCAGAAATGAAAACTCCATATTTTCAGTTAGGCAACTTAATTTTTAAATGTTTACCTAAATACTTTTTGTAACCTATTACGCTTTAATTTCACTTTAAAAAAAAGTGCAGATCAATTATTGTTTTGTAAAAACAAATTACTTATAATCTTTTTAAATCTGAAAATCATTTAACATCCTCCATTTAGATGTTCTCAGTTCTTGCGTATCAAAACATTTAATTGACTTATCATTTCATATCAGAAAAAGAAGGAAGAAAAGACAAAACAAGTGTTTCAAAAATTCTTCATTAAACCAAAAGAGACACCAGTAAAGCAAATGGTATGTATTCATAAATTGGGAGTGGGGGGACACAGACGACCTGCATGCATTTTGAAAAATATTTATGGTTATGAAAGATACATATTAAATAATAATGATATTAACATTTTAGATTGAAAGTTGCATCTTGTATTTTTGTATTTTAAAAAGAGTATTGACCCCAGGTTTTTCTTTAAAATATGTATTACACCAAGGTACAAGGTTGGTTGCCAAATTTTAAAGTGAATAAAAATAGAAATAGAAAAGTTATTTGTTGGCGTTTTCTATAAAAATTAAATGAATATAATAAAATAAAACTTTTTCCATTGACTTTGTTCCTCATTGAAACGACGTACATATCAAAATATACATTTGCTAATATTTAAACTTAAATGGTGTGTCCGGAACTTTAAGACCTCTGGAATGCACTGTTCTTATTTCAGCCTTTTTAAAAATTCAATATATAATTATAATTATCCTCAATAATGTTTGGTAGTTGTTTTATTGTAATGAATGATCTTTTTTTCCAAGACATCAAAGCCTGCCACTGGCATATTCATTCCATTTGAAGTCAAGAAAGACATGCATTTGGCCCCTGCTGTAAGAAGACAAGGTCTTTCTATTGAGAAGAAGGAAATCCTTGATCAGTTTATAAATAATACACAGGTTGGTGCCAATGACATTGAAATATTGATCGTTTACATAAATTCTGGTTTGAGAGATTCATTCTTTTCTGGTTATATGAGGGCCATTATCATGCTTAACTTAAGCATATACTATTCAGGCTAGTTGACTAAGATGAAGTAGGTCATTTTTAACACTTACATCACCAAGTCCCTATTGATGTTCTTTCCATCATCCTCAAGGCAGTTTGCAATGGATTTTTAATATTATTTTCCCCAGATTTCAGAAATGTATATCCACTAGTATTACTGCATTATCAATTTTCATGTAAAATATAGATACTATATTGAATTGGAAAAATGATTTGAAGTCACACACAAAAATATTTTAAGTTACTGGAAATAGAATTTAGAACATCAGCTTGTCTGTGACATGGAAGAGGAACATTATATAATTTTAACTTGAACTAAGAAGAGTAACTCATTGATTTTTAATACAAAAAATTTAAAAATATTGTGTGCCTGTCACCAGCGCTTTCAGGTTGTTGGGAAAAGAATTTTATCATCTGTCCCATAAACTAGCTGTTTTAACAGAGGGTGTTCAGTTAACCAATTTTTTTGAGTTTTTGAAAATCTATATTTTTTTAGAAGGTTGATACCCTTTAAAAAAAATAAAAGATTGAGCCTATGCTTTGTGATCTTGTTTCCAGAGCAGTGTAAAGACCTATTTACAACTTCTTAAAAATCAAGAAATAGTCCCCCAGAAGACTGGAAGAATTTTGCGCAAGTATGAGATGACTGTTGTGCTATTATTAATTTCTTTCTAAACACGAAAATTTTGCATATGTAATTGATATATAGTTAACATTTAATTAAAGCTTTTATCTTTTTTCTTTATTAATCTTTAATAACATTTAAAAACCTTTCCCGTGGCTGCTAAATTATTTTCTTAGCAGTAATAAAGTTTGAAAAGGGCTCCTCATTCTAAAAAAATTGCTGACACCATGGGCAACTGGTAGGTTGCAACCTTAAAATTGTATATTGGTGTAGTGCTGAACTTATTTAAAAGATGGATAGTTACCAAGCTACACAACATTGCTTTTAAAAAAAATTAATACCGGTAGGAAAGGAATGAATCAGCTTACTGAACTAACTTAAAGAGTTTGGCGGATATATTAAATAAATGAGATAATTTGTTCCTTTATGGATACCTCATCTCTATTGCTACACACTAAGCTAATGAAGTCTTTAAAAAATTTTCAGAAATCCTCAGCCTGCGGAGGATGTTGAAATAATTCATGATTCTGAAGCTCTGAAGAAAGTTTTTCATCAAGTGAAGCTGCTACAGTTTCACACAGACTATAGGCCACCTTACTATGGAACATGGCGAAAGCAGCCAAAACTCTTTCCACGAAATCCATGGAAAAAGGATGAGGTTATTTCATTATTTTAAAAAATTTTGTTTGAATTATTTATTTCCCTCCTTAATCCAAGTCTTATAAAATTGTACAGAACTCCATTTGGCTATAAATGTGGTTGACATGTTTCATTTTCAATTTCAGTCTTTGTTTGACTATGAGGTTGATAGTGATGACGAATGGGAAGAAGAAGAACCTGGAGAAAGTTTATCGTGTTCAGATGTAAGTATTTTTAATAACAACCAGATCTATAAAAATAGTTATATATAAAAAATTTTTTTAATGAATTTAAAAAAAATTATAACGGTAAAAGGTCCCCATGATTATCTTTATCCCATTAACTAGATAAAATTCAAGGAAACAACCAGCAAAAAAGAAATTGTAATTTTTTTTAGTAAATACCTTTGTCTTAATTGTGGTACTTAATTACCCTTGAACTTTTCATCTGTTGACCTTTGACTAGAATGTTCTTAAACTTCATTAATTAAATTCTTGAGTTTATTTGTCATTTAATAGATAGGTTATAGGTTTTTTAAAAGGTAAAACATTGAAATCAATCCTTACAATGCAACCTTTATAATCTAGTAAGTGTGACATTTTCTGAAACTTACATCCCAAAAATCTTGATGTTATATAATTACTGAAACCTTTTTCTTTTTTTAACCAATTGTTATAAAATCATGAATAAACAGGCTATGAATGATCACCTTCTATTCTTAAAAATGTATTTACAATATGTCACAGATGTTATTATGAATTTGAGAACCACTGATAAGAGATTGCTGAGCACAGTTAAAACCCTGTATTTGCACTGTAGCATGGAGGGTGGTGAATTGGGATGAATAAGACTGGCCAATCAGGGTGCTTGATTTGGTCATGTGAGTGAGCGGAATATTAACTTTGAGAAAGGAGTCGAGATGAAAACTTTGAATGGAGAGGAGATAAGATCTTGGGATTATATGGAAATAATTTTTTTCAAATTTAAACATGTAACGAAACAAAATAAGGTTTTTGATTCCTGCACTGTTCCTGTTCAGATGCAGTCAATCAATTCAGGGCAGTAATATTCCTCAAATTTAGGAGTACATTTTTATAATGATTCTTGAAGAACAAAGTTTTACTTTGAATTTGATATTCATGTAACACACAGGGAGAAGAAGAAAAGGGGGAGGAAGTGGATGAAGATGAGGATGATGGATGGATGGTCCCTCATGGTTACTTGTCAGAGGATGAAGGCTGCAATGAAGATGATGAGGTTAGCTATTATTAAGATAAGATTCTTTTATTGATCTCAATAAATGGATATGTTTTTTTATATTCATTTTCAGAACATAAATAAATACATAATAGAAACAATGCATTTTTTTAAATTACAGAGGTTATTTTATCTCTTTAATTTTTAATGAATATTGTCTTAATTTTTTAATTAAATTTTATAATTAATTAAATTGTGTTTTTTCAGTGGAAACTAAAAAATATTTTATCTGAGGAGATATTTAAATTTATAAACTGTTAAAGAAATACTTTTATATTCCCTTTTTTTATCTTCAAATAAATTTCAGATCACTCCAGAAAAGCTCAAACTTCAGCAGTTGGCTAAAGCTAAGGCTTGGGAAGAAGAACAAAAAAGAAAGCACCAGGTTGCACCTCTCATAACAGTGGGCTGTTTTTTTCAGTACTCACCAAGTGCTTCAATGTGTGGAGATGTTCGTCTTCTTTATGAATTCAGGGTTTGTATATAATTTTAAAAAATTCTTTGTCTAGGCTACCACTTTTTGTGTGGCTTTTTGGAGAATCTGAATTCTATGTAATTTTTACTTTTCTAATCAGGGGTGCTATCCACTAGATCAGGCGTGCTCAAAATACGGCCCGCGGGCCGCATGTGGCCCGCCAGCACCCATTTTGCGGCCTGCGAAGTAACGAAATATTCTTTATTCTTATTATTTTCTTAATAGATGTTCCCCTGTCCTATTTTTCTTTTGGCCCGCGCAAGCCCTGACCTATTTTCTTTTGGCCAGCACAAGTTTTTCATAAAGTAGTACAGCCCGCTTTACATTTTGAGTTGTGTAGGCCTGCTCTAGATTATAAAATTAATTATCTACCCAAATATATGATTATAATTGTGATAAAATTTTAACTAAATTACCTACACTTAATGACACAGACCTGTTTACTCTTACGATTTTGGCGTACAATGTACGATTTTTAGATGTCTTTTACGATTGTACGCCGAGACCCTCCAAAGCTACGATTTTCAGAGACCCGGTGAAAAATATTTGTGAAATTTTGTCCGATTTAAAAAAAGTTTAAAAATGTTCGGTTGTGGAAGATTTAGCCCTATGGCCCCGCAATTGGTTTTTCTATGTTTTTTTATAGTTGGGACCATCCTTCATTATATTATGTACGCACTGAAAGGTGAGGTGGGGATTGTTGATTAAAGAGATTGGTGGCATACCAGAAATACGGGTAGGGGGGTGGGATAGGTGGGGCTTTCAAAAGATATAAAAATATCACCGCAACGCATCCTATTGATGGTGGTGATTGTCTTAGTGTTGCTTTGCGTGTCACAGTGAACTAGCCAGCTGTGTCAGCAGCAATCTTTAGGCTAGTCGCCTGGCAACAACTTCACTCACCACCTCACTGCTAGCAAGCGTGTGTTCGTCTGAACAGCGAGAATTGTAAAGAGAGAAAACTAGAGGTGTAAGATTTAGTCAGTGGCATAAAAAAAATATTTTAGAACTCGCAGAGCAGCTCTATCCAGAGGCGTAGCGAGGGGGGGCAGGGGGACGGATGTCCCCGGGCGCCAGCTAGTTAGGGGCA